ATGTTTTTCAGTGCTCTACAGGTCAAAGGAAAATGCCAAAGAAGGGGAAAAAATCACATAACTCTGCTCCATGGGCTTGCAGACATTTAAAAGAAACCCATCGTCATGGCTATTTTTGTTACCACAGCAGTTAGGAATTGGAAGTCTATGTTTAGTCACAAACATTTCTTAAACAAAAGGAGAATTTATGAATCCAGATTGTTATTTTGCAAGATTTAGATCTAGAAGAATTGCACTGGAAACATACCTGCTGCCACAGGCTATCATCCATCTTCCCAGCCCATGCTTAGTATCAGATATCAGGAGGAAGTTCTTCACGGAGAGGGTGGGGAGGCACAGGAACAGGTTGCCCAGAGAAGCTGTGGATGCCCCATCCCTGGAAGTGTTCAAGGCCAGGCTGGATGAGGCTTGGAGCAACCTGGTCTAGTGGAAGGTGTCCCTGCCCATGGCAGGGGGGCTGGAACTGGATGATCTTTAAGGGCCCTTCCAACCCAAACCTTTCTATGATTCTAAGTAGAAGCTTCTTGAGTGGCATCATGGAAATCAGTAGGGTTAAATGGATACAATCTTACTCAAGATGAACATGTGTAATGGTATTTAACCTTTAGCCTGTTAGTGCCACTTTCACATTGTTGATCTTCATATTTGACTACTTTATTATAATTTGCCAGTGTCTGAAATAGATGCATGTGTGTCCTTGATGCTATGCCAGGCAAGAATCCTATGCTGTTGTGCAAGCACATGGAGGTGCAAGAAGCTGTGCCTCCTCTGAAGTCAGTGCCCAACCAGTGGAGTGCACAAGGACCTCACCCTCTGCTTCCCAGGTTGCTTCTGGGGAATGGGACCTCCCTGCTAGCTCATGTCAGCATCTTGGGCATAATAAGGGGTAGGTAGGAGCTCTTTGGTGGTCTGAGTCCACAAAGCCCATGAAAGATCAGGAGGGTAGCGAGCTGGAGGTGAACAGCTCCTGCATTCCATGTATTTACATCCCTGCGTGCAACCTATTGCCCGAAGTGGCCTTTGGGTGATGGTCACCCATCCACAGGCAGTAAGGGAAAGGCTCGTAGGGCATGCAGGTCATGTTCTGAGAACCTGAAAGGTCTTTTGAGATGGGGTGGCTGAGCCTATGAGAGTAAGGCTCTCATAGGCTATATGCATATAAAGGCATAAAGCATATATAGCATATGAAGTCTTCCTATAAAGGAAGACTGCATTTACCCTTAGGAATAAAAACAGGTGCTAGCAATACCTTATTTTTTTTGTACTCTTCGCACTTCTTGCCATGCCATAGAAAATATGCATCTTGGGGCTTTATTTTCTTATGCACATTTTGTTTACATAACCAGTACATTTTTATCAGCAAGAACCGATGTTAACTGAATTTAACAAAGACAAAGCAAGAGGGAAATGTTCATTCTGTGCATGGTGATATCACAGAAACAATGTGTTCGAAGCCCTGTACTTCAAAAACATGCTTGAGACGAATGGAAAAATCCAGGCTTATGTTGTGAAAACGTGAGTCACAACAGCTATTATCTCTTAAGAAACGGCATTCGAGCTCCTTGGTTCAGTCATTGATGATTTCTCTTTTAAAGTTGTGGCGCTTTCTTACCCTTTTAAGACACATCTGGGCTAACCCTGGCTATTTGTAGAAATGTTTGCAATTTACAGATTAAAGGAAATTAGACATAGAAAGGACCCATGAAATTATCTTGTCCATTTCCTGAAAGCATATGAAATTGAAAAAGAATTAGGCTAAATATATATATATTAAAATTTCGAACTTTAATTTATATACAATATGAAGACAAAACATCAAGATTTTTCAATTGTAATAATGCTGGATTTTTCTTTTTTTTTAAGGAAAAGTAAATAGAAGAGCAACAAAAGCTCTAATGAAGTTTGTGTAGAATTTTACAGTTGTTCCTAGGCAGCTATCTTTCTGGAATATGCAGATAAAATTGAAAAGATCTGGTTTTCACCAGTTTGAAGTTGATTCAATTTTCTAATAAGAGCTTTAAGCAAAAATAATTCCCTTTAAAAAAATAATTAAAACTTCCCATTTTGATTAGTTTTTTCTGGCTATTTTATCTCCCTCACCATCCCCTATGCTTTTTTTTTATTTTCTTTTTCAACAGATTTAGTTTTTGTGATCAAGCAACACCCATGAAAACTGCAGTAGAGACATTCCACACATTCTCTTACCATCCCACTGAAGTACTTGGTTTCCCTCATACCAAGGGGAATATGTATACCTCATACCTCATTTCCCTCATACTAGCCATGCCTCCAGTTCACCTATGTGGAGAAGGTGGTGCAGAGGTGGGTGCCACCAGTTTTCCAGCAAAGGGGATGTCTGTGTTGGTCGAAGACAGTCGCCCAGCCTGCTCTCTAAAGCACTGGAAGCAGGTTATTTGATGAGATGAGGATCTTAAGCATTGGCAGGGATATGGGAGTATTAACTTTGGCTCTTTCTGTGTCTGCACAAGCTCAGACCAACCACAGGGCCGGCAAGCAGATTGAGGCCTTGCTCAGGGCAGTGTAGGTTGTCTTGCGTTGGCATCAGTGCTCCCTAAAGACAAAAGTACTTAAGATCAGAGGATGGGTTTCTCCAGACTGGTAACCTTGTAAGAGTGTAAAAATAGAGCAAACATTAGTCTTTCTTGCATGCACCCAGGTTTTGCAGCTAGGGGATTTTCTCAGAGACAGAAACTTTGTGTTTAAAACTATTAATGGATCTTTTTCCCCTGGATTTGCTTTGTGGCTTTATGAATCCTTGCCATTTGCAGCCAACAAGTCTCACAGGATAACTCTGCACCATGTGGAAGGTGGCTCCAGCGGTTGTTTCAAACCTGCTGCTCTGTAATTTCATTTGCAATTTCTCCATTCTTGTATTAGGTAAAAAAGCAAACAATCATTCCACATTCACTATCCTCACAGCACTCGTGATTATCCAGACCTCAGCTAACAGCCTGCAGTGATCTCTTTTCCGGTTTAGAGAGCTCGCCTGTGCCCTTCCAGAAGTACTGATCAGCCACTGATTTTTGTTGTCCCCTTCAGCACTGAGACAGGTTTCACTGTGAAACAAAAATTAAATCAACAAAAAGCTCTGAGAATTCTCTGGCCACTTGTACTGATGTCATTTATAGAAAGTGAAATTCTATTTGCTTGCACTGGTGCTGAGTCACAAAGTGTTGAACATAAGGAAACTCAATTTGTAGGAAAGCTTCTAATTTCCTGTTTTTCAGGAGGAAGGGGATAAAACAAATGGTGTGGGGGGAGAGAGGAAAGGAATAAAGAGAATAAATCTAAATAAAGAATGTCGGAATACCCAAACTCCAGGAAGAATAATTCATTTTAGCCCTGCTTGTTCCAACAAGCAGTAACGTGGAGTATAGTGTACAAGCTCCAGTAAATCATTCCTGTATGATAGGCTGTGATCAATGACAATTTAATGAATTCATTTTAAAATGAAGTCAGAATAGGAAAAACAGTAGTTATTTGAAAGAGTGCTTTACTCAAATAAATTGAGTCAATAAATATGCTATTTGTCATGCAGAGTCCAGTTAAAGTCTTGTTTGCTAACAAAAATGCTGTCATCACAGAGCTTAATAGAAGCAAACTATCTGGAACTATCCACTGTAAACAGACAAATACCATCTGAAAGCAGAAAACAACAATTGCAGCTGAACAAAGAATTGTATCCTGCACACATCAATGAATGCAATAGGGTAGCCCACCCCAAAATCTACTGTTCTGTTTATCATCAGCTTATATTCTGATTTACTATGAATGGTCTGGTGGTGGTAAAACAACAAGGGTTGTGTTTATTCTGTGAAATGAGTTTTAATTTTGGTGTGGTGAGGGTTTCTCTTGCTGGGAAAAACATGCCACTAAAGTCAACATTAAATTGCAACATACGGCTCCAGTGAACTTGGAGGGATTTGTGCAGACTACTAGAACAGGGATAAGCTTCATCCCTTTTCAAACAGTAGTTTTACATTAATTTTCACAGCTGTCAGTGTTGTTTAGTGCAGATACAAGAAGGCTTTTTGTTCTGCTGTGTTTTTCATGCTTGGCTTTATTCATATAAGTTGAGAGATGTAGCAATTCTCACTCGTTTTCATTCAGGCGGGGTTTGGAGGTGTTAACAGTGAAGCACCATCAACCCGAGATGGTCAAACCTCACAGGTTTGAGTTAGATGTTTGAACTGGTATTGGATGGAAGAAGCCCGATTTTCAGATGTGAAGAACTGGCAGCAGTGGCTGTTCAGCATCTCAGAAGCTTGGAGTGCTCTCATGAAGGTCCAAGGGCTTTGCCAGGCACATTTGGCCTTCTAACATCCTTCAGATTTTAGGGTGTGGAGGAGAAGAAAATGCTCAAAAGTCTTGACAGATATCTTGAAGATCATATTTCCTATCCCCAAGGAAAATAAAAATTATGTTGCAGAAGCCTAAGACAGAGATTATGAAGAATTTCTATGTGATTTAAGCATCTGAACTTGACCCTTCACTCTTTAAATTTGGAATAGAACAGCTGGGGCATTTTTAGAGTTTGTATTATGTGGCTGGATATCAGCTGATTTAAATCTGCCCCACAGTCATCTTACACACATTGTTCATCCACTCCCAGAGCTGCATTTTCAAAAATGAGTTAGGAATCCAAATCTCTGTGGCTTTCACTGAAACTTAAGCTTGCATGAATCTAAGTTACTCCTCAGTTTGGATTTAGGACCCCAAGAGACTGAAAAACTTAAGATTAATTCACAGTCTATTTACAAAATCTTTTTAGTGCTGATCACAAGTAATTCCTAATTGAAATTAAAGTTTGAGTAATTTCTGTTTTCTTTGGTATTCTACTAACCACATAAAAATAGATGAGGGTTTTCTTGATAATAGATATCCTACAAGTTATTTGGGTTGGGTTTTTTATTTTCATTCTGATAGCTTTGTTCTTCTCGCTTTGCTCCTGTCACTAACCTTTGGTACTTCTGTTTCAGCTGTTTCCACTACTAGGAGTAAAGACCAGAAAAGACAAAGCAGGATGAAAAGATGGCTGACTTCTTGTTACCACCGGGTACTAACAGCTTCCACCGGTTCACGCCTGAATCCTTGGCTGCTATTGAGAAACGAATTGCAGAGAAGCTTGCAAGGAATGCAAAGCAGGAATACAGAGAGCAGCTGGGGGAAGAAGAGAAACCTCAGCCTCAGTTTGATTTGCAAGCTTGCAAGAAGCTGCCAGATATCTATGGGACTGTTCCTCCAGAGCTCATTGGGGAGCCATTGGAGGACCTTGACCCTTTCTACAATGACCGTAAGGTGAGCACCGGCCATCCTGCTTCTTTTCTTTTTCTAAAGCATAACGCTGTCTCTGTTTTGAGGGGTCTGGTCCTTATCTTTCTACAGCCAGTAAAAATATTTTTTTCCAGATTAAGGATCAGAGTTTTGGCATGAACAGGGCTCCCAGAAAACATTTAAGCAGAGGAGTAATGAGGGATAAAAAACATAATTAAAACTTGGGTGTTTTCAGATAACTGCGTATGAATATACAGTGTCTGTAAAGAGCAGAGCAGTAGCTGAGTTAAATTAAGCCAGAGGTTTTATCTACCCTATCTTGTCTTCTACATGAGCCTTGACTCTTCACAGGTCTGTTTATCACTTAAGCCCCTTAATGTTAAGGGCTTCTGGGTGACTTGAGTCTTGTGCTAGCACTCTGCACGAGAGCAGGAGGCACCTTCACAACCGTTCCTTTTTTTTTGAGACAGTTCAACACCATTTAAGATGACCAAAATAGAGCTGAAGGGAGATGTGAGTAGCATGTGTAGTGCTGTCGCTTTGCAGAAGGGTAAGCTTCATCCCAAAGTAAGCATCACCTGATGAGGAATCACATGTAAGCTGGACCAAAGCCACAACAGCTTCTGTCAAAAAGCTGTTGACAGCGGAGCTGGGCTGGTTGCTTACTACAGTTCATTCCCCTTTCCAAACATTTCACAAAAGGGGGGACAAAATAATGCTTGGAAGCACAGTGTATTTTTAGCCAGCTTCCAGTTCTTTCAGGTACTGATGTTCCTGATTTTGGGCTATGCTGTTTCCTGTAAACAATGAATTCATTGTTTATGCTACTTACTCTACAATGTTACTTAAAACAGTGTAGAAACAGGTGCACGAGCTACAGAATAAAAGTTAAACGGATAAAGACAAATAGATTAGTTACCTGGAAGGGCCAGAATTAATTTACCTTTTAATTTGTCTGCTGTCCCCAGGCACAAGCAGCAAGATATAGATTTGCAATTTTAGTGTCATGAAGGTCTTAGACTCAAGGTGGGTGAGTTGCTTAGAGTTTATCTATTGGATGTCCCAGTCTGGTCTCTGAGTGAATATTAATTTTTCTGTGCCTGGTGGAGCATCTTCAGAGCTCTGTAAACTGAGCCAGCATCCAATTCACCTTTGCTCTGGATTTAAGATAACTCACAGTATTGATTTCCTCTGCTCCTATTAACCTGAGCACAATGACAGTGCCTCAGTGCCAGGGACAGATCCTGCTGTGGAACTGTGCCTCATGCAGCGACTTACTTGGTGAGACAAAAAACATCATCTGAAGGCAACAAAGTGAAGGTGGAGTAACAACATAGAAAGGTTCCTGACGCCTGGGAAAGAAAGCAACATAAAAGTCCTTCCACCACACTTCAGTCTACCGGTCATTTTTTATTTTTAAAGGTGATTCCACTTTTCTCCCAACCCTGTGATGGAGGGGATGGCACAGGACCCTGTAAGGAATGAGGAAAAAAAATAGTTGGGATATTGCAGTAGGACAGGCAGCAGCTCTGCTGGAAGGGTCTTCGACAAAACTCTTCACGAAGTGAAAAGGAATTTGGGGGTCTTTGGATGGAGTGGGTAAGAAGTATGGGATATTGGCAGGAATTTTCCAAAGGGATATGGGCTGGGAAAAGCTGGGCATAAATATAAATACTGAATGTTCTCATTTTCTATTTTGTTTTCCAGACATTTATAGTACTGAACAAAGGGAAGACAATCTTTCGATTTAGTGCCACTCCTGCCTTGTATATACTTAGTCCTTTCCATCCAATCAGAAGAGCAGCAATTAAAATTTTGGTACATTCATATCCTTTCTGTTGATTTCCCTCCTTGTGCATTTTGCATGGTTTTTAAACACAGAAGGATGGAAGTCAGAAACCATCTTATGTTTTAAATCTTTTGGCTGAATTTGCTTGCAGAAGCAGAAATGCACTTGTATTTTCAGTTTGTTTCATTTTATATTGTTATGTGAGCTATGTGACGCATATAACATTTTATATGTTATGTGAGTGTATTATATTGCTGGCATGTGATAATGTGAACTGCGCTGAAGAATCTGGTGAGTTTACTCAGGATTAAGAGGTGTGAAGGACCTGATCATGTTTAGTGAAGAGTCAGTGGAAGAAACTGGTTGTAGTATCTCAGAAAGGAAGGGAACGAGGAGGCTGGAGCACACCTGGGGAAACCTACACTGATGGAGAGCTTTGCTACAGAGCACTTAAGGAACCCCTCCCATGAGACACTGTCACACACTATGCAGATACAGTTTACTTTTGAACTTCCTCAAAACTCAATTTTTTTGTTTCCCCAAAACGGAATTTTTTAAAATTGTTTTGTTGGGTTTTTAGTTTGGTTATTGCAGTGTGTTATCCATCTGGGAATGAAAGCACAGGCTGGTCTGCTGGACCTTTAGATGGAGGGGCGATGCATGATTTCCCCTAGCTCTTGCTTCTGAAGTTACGCAAGGTACACGGAAAGTTGGTTTTGGCTTGTTTGTTTGTTGTTCTTTTCTTTAACATGGCCACCAAAACATTATATTGTGACATAGTCCCATCTCTCTGGAAGAACAAACTGTCCCAAACATTCAGTTTTGGGTGAACTTTACTGAAAATACCCCCTTTTTCCTGAGTTGCCTGCTTTATCTACAGTGTGCATTGGTGACCTGGCAGTGCTAATTCAAAGACTCCACATGCTGCTGTGAAGATTATGTAATGTTGTAGCGATGGAAATCCCTCATCTGCAATGCTCATGTCCACTACAGAGAACTAATAAATACTAAGCAGGTAGCATCCTAGAATCATTAGTTTATTATCAAATTTAAGGGACAAAAGCAGGGAAAGAAACCAGATTCCCAGAGGCTGTCCATGCAGTGGGGATAATAAAAAAAAGTGACAATATAGATATTCTAGCAAGAGGAAAAATGGGTGAAGTTTCTGGTAACAATAATTCTATGCAAAAATGAATATATGGTATCAGCCAAGAAGTTAGTACGCTTACTAAGAATACACCATAGAATTATGCAGAGAGATTTGCTTATGGATCAGGTTATACGTGCAAGCAGTACAGCACATGCTGCTGCATACCTAGAGCCCAACAGTGCTTATTAGGTACAGTTACATCAGCATAGCCTTACTGAAGTTAATTGAGGTCAGTGCATTTGCACGGGTGTGGCTAGGAGAAGAATTTGAAAATTGTGCTTCTCAGAAAAAAGCATGTATGTGTGAATATTGGCTACAGTTTTGGAAGCCTGTTCTGTCTTCTACTCACTTTCTTTTACACCGGCTGGCGAAGTCAAGAGGTCACAAGTAATACACTGGAACTACATGGCCTTGGTGGCAGTCAACCAAAAGATAAATATGCAAAAATCCTTATCACATTACTGCCAAGAATAAAGACCGCAGAGAAGTGAATTTGAAAGATATGTCAGGAACAGAAATATGACCAGATAAGGAGCATAAAGTTTTCGGAGTGGACAGTCGCAATGCAAGTGAAATTTTAGTTCCAGAAAGACCTAAGTTTTCACCTCTCATTGATGTCAGGAAATACAACAGCTCAGTCTTCAGCAAACACAGGCAGGAGGCAACAACTCCAATACCAGAGAAATGACGATGAAGCTAGCTAATGCATCAGGCACTGATTTGTTTTCTGTCAATAAAGACCTTTCACATCAACCTGAAACACAAAGGCCAATTGGCTGAGCAGACAGTCAATATCCCAGGCAGAAAGGAGCCTGAATCGGCAAGTACTCAAGCAGATAATGTCATAGACATGAATCTGGGAACCAGATCTATTGTCTTGCATGAGTGTAATCAAGCAATCTTTATTTTCCCCAGGGCAAAAGCCAAAAAAGAACATTAACAAATGGTGCCTTGTCACGTAAGTGTCTGAAGAACCTTCTTTAGTAGATGCCGTATTTCCATTTCCAGTCATTGAGTGTACCTTGAAGGCCAACGGAACAGAACAGAGAGGACAGAATAAAATCATCTTATATAGAAGTTGTGCAGGTCGCATTTCTTGGTTAATTAGCTGTGGATGTAGTTCTTGCACTGAGACTTCAGGCATCCTGTATGTTCACTGCTCATCCAGTAAAGCCTGATTAGTCTAGTAATTTAGAAATATATCTTTCAAAGGCAAGAACATCCACAGTCTACTATTAAGGTGGATTACGTCAGTTAGCACCATACCCCTAAACTTCTTTAGGCATCTCTCTTCTTTCAGAGTCAAGGAGGCCTCATGAAAGGACCATGGTCCAGACAGCTGCCAGAACAAGGCCCTGGTCCATTTCTGTCACAGAGGACATGGGGAGTGTAGGTTGGCATCCCATTGGTATCAAATGCAAATCAGAAATTTTGGATGAACATTTTTTACCTTCTGCATCATTATTAGCTATTATTAACATCTTTATTTACTATCTTTAACTACTAATAAGATTAAACCACTGTTAACATTTCATTGATGCCTTATACTTAAGAGACTCCTCTTAGTTCTTCTTGCCTGAAAGCCAAGGACAATTTCGTGGTGTCCCGAGTTCCTCCTGGCAGTTTGCTGTGTATAAAATCCACAGCTATTGCTAGTTCCTAGTTTTCCTGGGCATTACGGACTGTTGCTCTCAAATAGCCACTGCCAGAATCAGGTTTTGGCCAAAATTGCTTTCCTTGATGCTAGAACTACGGATTCTGGCTCATTTAAAAAAAAAAAAAAAACACCTTCTTAAAGAATTTTCAATCTTTATTAATATTTTCTGCTTCCAACTTTTCTCCCATCTGATTTTACATGCTTTCTTCCGTAAGGGAAAATGAGACCTTGTGAAGCACCAATTATATGTACTATTGATTGGGACTAACCTTTGCTTGCACATATTATGTGTAATTTGGCAATGATCACTTAAAGACCCTCTAGTATTCAGTCTGCTAATTAACAATTATCCATCATAATGAAGTATAGACTTTAAATATGCCATGTTCGACTCAATAACTTTGTGGTAGATGATAAAATTTATAACTTTCAGAATCAGTTTGCTCAAAGCCTATTCCATAACTTCAAATTAGAGGTAATAGGTTCAACTTATTGTAGAAATGATCCTGATGAGTAGCTTGATATATTTGGTTTGTGGTCCATAAGATTCTAACCCATACTTCTGAATATGTTAACCATGTCAACTTATGGATTAATAGGCTTTCAAAAGCGGAGTTAGTAGGAGTTCTAAGATAGATAACAGACAGTGTGCTAATACAGATATCTAAATTTCATCTCCTTTATTCTTTTTGAGTGGATCATCATCGCTGATTTTTTTCTAATGCAAACAGTTGCACTAGTTTTCATGTGGGAATTCTAACTTTCATTCTGTAGGACTTTCTATTTCCTTTCTCTTCTAACACAGTTTTCTGACTTGGATGCATAACCAGCTGAAATGTTTCTATCTTTTATGTTCTTTGTAGTCTTCAGCTTGCTCATGAAACTTAGTTTGAATTCCTAGTGCATTTGATTTCCCAAAGCTGACCCCTTATATTTTCAACCTGTGTGCTCTTGTGTATTCTTTCTGTTTCAGTATGAAGGTGATGACATCTGCCTGTAAGCAAACATCTGGGAAAGCTGTTAGGTTTAGTTTATACCACAAGGAAAAATGAATGTATAAATCAGACCAGTGATCCTAAACTGGGTGGTTATAGAGGAATTTCCTTGTTTGGAACTGAAGTACAGTGTTTGGCATGGCCTGAAGATACCACTCTCTTTTATTGTTGTTGTTTTCATAGCATTTCACTGTATTTGAAAAATTAATCCAGTGTTTTCTAGGCTAGCTGTAGCTTACAACCTAATTGTGTTAACAGATGGACACAAGTTACAGAAACACTTCTCAGTCTGACATGAGGAAATGTGACTGGATATCCGATATCCTTCACAGTCCTTCAGGAAGAGGTGTAAGCCCCAGAAGTTGAAAATGTTTGTGAGATGAGCATTCCCTTTGAGTTCAATTACTGCTTTCTGCAATGGCACTGGGGAATGTGCAGCTTGGTTACTACCAATTTAACTTTGTAACTGCTTATGTGCCCCACTGGAAAATGTTCCATTCTGTATTCAGCAGCAATTTTAGCTCTATGAAAGGGCAACTTTCATGCAAACATTTCAGGACATACCTGTGAAACAATATTCTTTAATCATTCTTAAACCAAAAATGCCACCAACAGGATCTGTAAAGAGGTGAAAGAAAAAAAAAAAGCAACAACTTTTTTTTCTAAAGAAGGCAAAAGACTTTTACATTTGGATGCTACTGTTCTTCCTTGAGAAAGGTCCCGACCTATTGACTGAGTTGTAGGCTGTTTGCCTTATCTTCCATCCACTTAGACTCATTAGTCCAACCTTCTCCAATAGCATGAGACCTATTATTTATGCAGGAGAATCCCATCACTTTTTGTAATTTTTTTTACAGATAACGCCCTGTGCTTTTAGGAGCACATTTCAGTGAATATTGTTTTCAATTTCAGGAATTGGATTTAGGGTGCACCTTTTTGTATTTATGGCCCCAGCTTAGCAGCTAAGTGCATAGACTATACACTTGGGAGGTTCATTTTAGCCTCCAATTAGGGAAACTGGTGCCTCAGCTGAGGCAGTCAGCTCTGCAGACCAAGACTTCATATTTGCCAACTGGGTTTGCAGACCAAGCCTTAAAATTAGTGCTCTGAAGCTTCTATTATTTTCTGGTGAAATTTTACACTGAAAACAAGACCTCAAGTCCATTAGAGAGATTAGAAACACTAGTTTTATAAGTTGCCCTACTGCCTGAGAAATGTTTCAGGATGCAAAATAAAATGGGAATTTGCAGACACAGGTTTTTACATAGATAATTAAATGAGAGTGATCCCTCTTTTTGTACAAAGTTGTGCACCTATGCACATTGTCGTCTGACCAACACAGCTGTAAATTTAGTGTATTGTATTTTCAGAAGACTGCAGAGTCAGTACATTTGTCTATAGGTATAAAAGATACAGGCAAATTTTAAAAAAATAGGAGGATATTTTCCCTCATTTTTTCAATGTTTATATAGTTATTTGTTTCCTTATGCACTTGCAAACAAGTATATATAATGCTGTTTGAGTGAACTGCCATATCCTGTGTGAAATGACAAAAATTTATGAAGTCTTATAACATATGAGTTGTTTTCCTTAATTCACTTATTTACATTGTTCAGTATGTTTATTATGTGCACTATTTTAACTAATTGTGTGTTCATGGCACAATCAGAGACTCCTTCGTGGAACAAATATGTTGAGTAAGTACCCTTGCTGGTTTACAGCTGCGCTGTCCTTATCTCATTCTTCCTCTTTCATTTGCTACATTTTTCTTTTCATCTTGTTTGCTGTTGTCAAATTTCTTTCCAGTAATACTGACCATAATGTCTGCCTTGCCAAAATATTTTGCCGGGTTTTTGTTGCTTGTGAAAACTCACTTAGTAAGTAAACTAACAACTTTGAATCGACCAAGCTCGTATTAATTGCTAAATGTACCTGCTATGCTACCTTTGTATGAAATCATGTAGGAGATCTCCATTTGAAACTGGCCAGCCTTCCACAGTTCCCATACAAGAGATTTACTGGTTGGACACATCACAGTTGGTTGATGGAGTTTTTAAGTTGAATTATTACAGAAAATACTTCCAGGACATACTTAGTCCTGTCCGCAAACAGAAACTTATTGGAAGCAGAAGATTCTTTTGGACTGGGCAGATCATGAGAAGTGTTTCTCTGTAACCGTTGGTAGGCAGAGTATATGAGCAAGCATAAAATTCTCTGGGAACACTTTTATGAGGATTCATGTCTTTTTAACTTGTCAAACCTTCAGAAAAAATATCAAATATATCACTTGACGGTTTTTAGGTTGTGGGGGTTTTTATTTAATTAATGTTAAAAGACATTAACGGGCTTCTGAAAGCCCATTCCTTTAAGTTGCTTTAAAATATTCCTGTTAGAAACAGATACCAGATGCACAAGCTAATCAACCTACAGTGCATTAAACAATTATTTTGGCTCATTGAACCAATCAGAACTCACTTTTTATTTTTGACTGACATATGATAAACACAGCCATCTGCTGCTCTGTAGCCTGGTGGTTGGTCTACTCAGGGCTGTAAGGAAAGACAGGAAAATGCCCTTATTTAAGGTTCCATAAAATCATGCAGGGCACATCTTCCAGGCTATAAATGACTAATTATAGATAACACTGAACCAAATACTTCATCTGATCATAACAACATCCTAATCCCAGGATGTTTCATGTCTTTCTGTATAGTGTACTAACCTCAAGTATGTCTGTAATCTTCCTTTTCTCCTGATGTTGTCTTTGCGTTATTGAGAACTGCCACATGTATATATGTGATATATATATACCATAGCCATGATATTCAGCTGAAACATAGACATCTCATCCATGTGAGTGAAACTTTGGTCAGTGGGTCTACAGCTGGGAATTTGAACATTCTGGAGGAAAATATTGAAGTGTTTGTCATTAAGGAGGGCATGCAAGAAAGAGCAGAAATGCAAATGAACCTATGTGGGATGAAGTAAATAATTTCCCTTCCATGTTTCCTATTCTGGATCCCCTCATACTTCTCTGCTTTTCATGCTCAGATGCACAGAATGAAATCAAAGGGAAGTACTTTTTAGGAGCAAAATAACCCAATGAAATGTAATTCAAATTCCAGTTCCAGAGACTCACAGGGAATACAGGAGTTACCTTGTGCAAATATTTGTCCTAGATCTTCCTTTAAAATATTTTCTGTACCATTTTGAAAAAGAAATAATTTCAACAGGCCCCACTAAAAATTTTTTAACAATCCTGACTTCTGTTGTTAAAGAAGCTGTTCCGTTGCTGGAGGACTTTGCCCGATCCATTTAGTATTAGATGATGATTATACAATCAATTAAACCATCTGACATGCTGAATAAATACAAGTGCTTTATATTTTTAATGAGCTTATGTACTGTTATTTTTTTTTTTTTTAATTCTTGCATGTGTTTTCTGCGTGTATTAATGAATACACACGCTTAAATAGATTGTCATGTGGGTGACCTATATTTGAAATACCAGAGCAAAAGTAAATAGGAGCCATGGAAAGTTGTGTACAAGATAATGCTTAGGTGTATGGTCAAAGAGGAGATGTGAGAAATGTTTTGCACCCACTGTTGCATGCAAACAGTTCTGCTAATCTCCACTTTAAGATGAAGCATACTGAGGTTTTATAACGTGTAACTAGCTCTAACATGTGACAACATGGCAGGAGGGTGTGAAAGTGGCCACTACCTTCATGTGACCCCCATTGCAGATCAGCAGAATATAGCTATATAGATAACATTTCCTTCTCATGCATAATGAAGTTTTTCCTTATATTACTACCTTTAATTGCTCACACTTCTTTTTTTTTTTTCTTTTTTTTTTTTTTTACCAAACAGGAATCCCAACTGTTATAATTTTGTGTGTGTGATGGCAACATTATAGCTGCTGATGTTTAGGGGTTGAACAGAAAAACTCAAGCTAGTGTTACCAGTGACAGCCCCTAACATCACGATATATAACATTTGTGTTTTATGGGATTTTAGGTGTTTGTTCAGTTAGTTTTGGTTGTTTTTTTTAATAGGCTTTGGTATCATCTGCATCTTCATTTGGAGAAAAGGGGTAGGGAATGCCAGTGAAGGATACTATACATTTATTATTTTTATTAAGATATATCCTAGAATACCTAGTCCTATTGATCTAGATGCCTCAGGCAGAAACATTAAAAAAGAGGTCCTGAAGTATGTCTCTGATAAAGCCAGGTAGAGCCCTGGGTGAATACAGATCTGAATGTTATAAGTCAGATAGATACATTACTGTCTGCAACAGAGAATTTGCTAAGTTTTATTACAAGTATCATCTTTATTACAAAAGGTAAGATGTATGTTCTATTCAGGATCATCACAGCCAAGAGGGTGTTGGTAACAAACAACTTATCTTACTAAGGGAGAAAAACACCCCTGTGTCTCTTTTACTGTCAAACAGGTCAAAATTAATACATAGAGTATTCAGGTGGGAGTTTTTTCCCTCTTTTTCAGTCAGGGTATTCGGTTGTTTAATTCTGAGGGTTGTTTTGATTTGCCATGGGTAGTGAAACACAAGGGACGTTGGAGTAACAATACCCTTTTTAGCTAATAAAACCAAGTAGTGACATTTTTTAACCTGTTGTCCTTCAAGATGTCCTGGGCAGGAAGAAATGACAAGTATGAATGGAAAAAATGCCCTAATTCAAACCAGAGAAACAACAAGGAATGTGGCAAATTCCATTCCTCTTTCACTGGCAATTGCAGGCAGAGCTTCAAGAGTCCCATAGCACAGCTTAGCAGTGTAATATTCATGCTTGATTTAATGAGTGAGGATTCATCAAGGTACAGCCTGTGGTGAAAATTATCTTCATCCTGCGGCTGTCATGAGTGCTTTCCCATTTCTTACATGGTCTATATATGAAGCTGCTCATACACAGCCATGCTGGGGCTGAGACTCACATGAGCAACCCTAACAAGATGAGCAGGAGTGTCTCATGCGAGTAAGGTTGGGTTGACTCTGCCTTTGCTGATCCTGCCGTTCCCTGCTTGCTAATGCTTTTGCTAATCTTGGTCACTTTGTTCCCCAGGTACACTTTCACTGGCATTTACACTTTTGAGTCATTGATAAAAATACTGGCGAGAGGATTTTGCATGACAGAATTCACCTTCCTTCGAGATCCATGGAACTGGCTGGATTTCAGTGTTATTGTTATGGCGTAAGTAGCACTCCTTTATATTTTTCAAGACAACAGTATGCAATAGAAGGTTTTAAAAATTGTCTGGCTGTTCTTTTTTTTTTCACTCAGTTTTTACTGAAAATGAGAAAATGCTGAAGTGTATTAGGATAGAATTTGTTTTTCCCACGTGGTTTCAGAGGAAGCAGTCAGAGGAATTCTTGATTCTGTTCTTTCAATTCACTACACTATTTTGGAGAAATTATTTACTCTCTCTGTGCTCCACAGAGAGCTGTTTGGAAAATATCTGCAACAATACTTGCCTACCTAATGTAGTTTTGGGAAGCTTCAGACTAGAAACTAGAAAGTGTTGTAAGTGTGACTGAATGTGAATTTAAATCCCAATTTGTACTCTATCTATAACACTACCAAAGTTCTTTTCATGTTCTTCACTTCACAAAGTCTCTTCACCCTGAAAGTAATTACTGTTTTACTACAATAAGAAATAAAAGGCCTCTGAAACTCGTTATATATTTTAGGAATAAAAATTTGGGCCCCAAAATGATATTCCCTTTCAGATCCATACCTCTACCTAGATTATTAGAGTTCACTCAGGACACGTGGGGTTCAGGTGCATTGAAGTAGCTCATGGATTTGTGGCATCTAGACAGCTAAAAATACACAGGGGTAAGGGAGCAGTCAGCCAATGCTTGCAGCGGACACAGGGTCAGCCCAAGCTCTGGCCAAAGGCAGATATCTGACCCTGTTGGTATCTTCAGCTGAGATAGAAATCCATATTTTCTTTGTAGTCAATGAAATGAGAAAAGCATGCAAAAAGCACATGTCATCTTGAAGTGGAAGCTAGTAGAGATACTTTGAAAGGCCCCAGTTCCTAATCATAGAATGATTTACTCTGATCTCCCTGTATTTTCTGCTTAATGATACCTACATTTTGTTATGGTTTTAGTTTCGTTCTTGCTACCCTCTTTACATCTCCTAATTCACAGCCTTAGGTGAGATGCAAGCCTGCTAGAACTGACATTTGAGCTGAACTCCCGGGCCTATGATATTTGAAAGGAACCAAAATTGGTAAAAATTATTCAGCCAAATTTAGTCCGAACGCCAGTGAGGGCCATTGAAGTTTGTAGAAAAACTCTGGTAGGGTGCAGAGATCAGGACCAATTTTCGAGGAGAGTCTGGGTGATACTCTTAGTCATATGCTTTGGTTTTAGTTAGTCCTGTGAGGTGCAGGTAGTTAGACTTCAGGATCCTTATGGGTCCCTTCCAACCTGATATATTCTATGATTCTGAGCAGCATTTAGCAGAACTGCATGAAGATTTGTAAAACCTACGTGGACTTCATTGGGAAGACTCCCATTTATTTTAGTAGGCTTTGGATCAAAGCCAGCCCTAGGCCAGATCCTGGTATCTGTTACTGCATTCCTATGGACTTGGCTGAACTGAAATCTGGCCATTGTGATAAGCTTTAAAAAAAAAAAAAAATGAAATGCAAGTGGGGAGGAGCTTTTGGAGGTCAGGACACATCAGGTATTTTTCTCAGCTAAACTTGTCATCAAGCAGTTGCTAAGTGTAATTCTTCTGCAACATTTAGAGGCAGGACAGAACAACACAAAGCATCACCAGCCTGCTCTGCTGTCCATCAGACAGGCGATAATAGCATCTGTTTGTGAGGTAGGATATTCTATGATATGAGTTCATTTGCAGGTCTCTGAACTCAGCACATGGAAAGATTCTGTGCATGGGATCCCCCTGTGCTACAAGGAAGGAGGCTTTAGAGAGTGGGGCAGAAAGGAGCAGAGAAAAGGGCATGAACTTGCAGCCTTGGCAATGCATCTGCTCCATTTCATCACGTCTGCTTGGATGGAGGCTGGGGCACCACCCCCAGCTCTACAGAACTCTGGGGTCATCTCATTTATTGTCACTGAATTGCAAGTTCAAACAGTCAGTGCAGGGCAAGGTCTGGATATCCCTTAAATTCTGTCTGCATTATCTCTGGGTGTTTGGGGCTCAGGGAGATGCAGAGATGTGAGAGTTTGCACAGAGTTTGAGGTGGACAGTTGCCCAGATGTGAATTCACTCCCTGCAGGTAGGAACCAGGGTTTGCTGCCCAGAGATTGTGGGCTTGCACCTCTTTTTGCTTCTCTAATTCTTCTGGACTGAATGTCCACTCAGTGCTCCAGCCCAAGGATTCATGAAGACTTCCTTAAGGCTTGTTTAATAAGAGGTTTTGGTGTCTGCCATTTCTTTCCCAGCTAAATTTTAATTTTCTTTCAAATTTTTATGTCATCTCTTAGTTAGAAGATCCATTAAACAGGGGGCTCACAACTGCTAAAAATCAAGCCGCTCAATATCAATTTATAGCAATGGCTGTCCTTTTCAGAACCAGCATCCATTCCTATTTTTCTTACTTTACATTTTTAGAATAGAAAATAATTAGAATTCTAGAATAGAAAAGAAATAGAAAGGTGTTTGCTTGAGCCCACAGGCAACAGTGAGAGGGTTAAAACTGACTGCAATATGATCTTCGTATGTACAATGAAACCTCCTTCCCGAGTATGCAAGCAGCAGATACCACAGAGAGTGGGATAATGGACCATATTCTGCTATTATTTCCTTCATATAAATTCAATTTGCAAGTAATTTAAAGTAAGAGTGATTATACAGGTAACCCTGGTGTTGCCTTTGCTTGTAGTGTGATGCTGGAGGTATTTCTGTATCTGGAGGGTTCCCAATGGGAAAGCCTGATGAGGGTCCATCAGATCTAGATGGGCCAGCATTTTGAACTAACAGAAAATCTAATTTTTCAGTGATGAGTGTTATAGGGGATGACCATCACTTGATCACAGTTATTGCAAAATAGCTTCTTACCTCCTCTTTCAGGCAGAAAAAGGGCAAATTGGGTCACAGAGAGTAGTTTTAAATAGCACACTACAGAGTACGAGTGCCACAGGTCTCCAGGGCTTTTCTCCCACCCTGTGCTAACAGACACCACTTTGGCTTCTGACCCTCTGTGGGGCTATGGGTGGGTTCTGGGGAAATTATGAAACGGCTCCTGTTTACATCACTTAGCAAGTGTTTTCCCGAACAGGTGAGGGAGAGGCAGCTGTAACTCTGGGTTGGAAAGTGCCCTGCCAAAAGCTTAAACACAGTAACAATTCCCTGGCTAACAGGAAAATTTGGGAAGGGATTTCTACTTGCTTCTTGCTCCCAGATACAGAACTGGTCTGCTGCAATTTCATCTAAGAAATGGCCAAAATAAATCTTAATTAACTACTGTAAGCAAGCAGCAGTAATATTTGCTTCACACACTTGTTCACATATTAATAATGTGTTTTTACAAACCTCTGGGCAGCAAAACCATATTCCCATGCTATTGCTTCTTCCCAAACTCCCTTTTTTTCCACCCCTGCATGCTGCAGAAGGGTTTGGAAGAGAAGCAGTAGGTAAACCTGGGTAGGAATTACCAAACAGGGAAATCTTTGCCCAGAATCCCCTATGAGATTATGAAGAGGAGAAACAATATTGCTCTTCCAGGTTATAATCTGGATTAGTAGATATGGAGAGGATGCTTTGTCCTCCCCAGAGGCCTTTGCACAAAGCCCACTTAAGCAGGCTTTGTAAAATAACCAGGTGAGTTTTCTCTGTAACATACAAAAATAAATACCGCCAAGAAGTAAAATATGTAAATGAAATATAATAGGAGTTTAATAATGAAATTAAAGGGTCCAAGAATGGTTTTGTTCAGAAGATACAGTGGTGAATATGCTTGTACTGCATACTGAGTTGAAAGAAATAATTTAGTGCCACACTGATCAATTCAAACTTGTTCCATAACTGACCCTCCTGGGAGCATTTTGCTCCGATGTGGCATGGGTCTCCCTGATGACCAAAACAAGCACAGCAGTGAAGAGCTGGGATTGGTATTTTAATCACAAATATTTTTTAGTAGGATTGCAATTATATTCATTCAAAATCCATCTTCCTGCAGCCAAAGGGCATGGATTTGATGTAGAAAAAAAAAATAAAATTTTAAGCATGTCTTGAAAGCAACATCTGCTTTACCACAGACTATAGCATCTTAGAATAAATAACCCAGTAGAAACATTTGATATTTTCCCGTGTTGTCCTATACTTAGTTTGCAGAACCTGTTATGTGAAAATTACTTGGGTATTTGAAGCTTTTTTTTTTTTTTTAAGAGCAGCAAAATAACTCTTAATGTTTCTTATAACGTAAAGAATTTTTTGTTAAACTACATGACCGTAAAATCAAGTACTTATTGCTGAACAACATAATAACAAAGTTCACCCGGTCATTTTAAAGAATTGATGCCTGTTAGATAAGTTTAATAGTTCAAGAAACATTTGAAATAATGTGTGCTATGAAAAGCCTGGGACAAATGGCATCAAAGAACAGCCTGAAAAGTGGATGCAACTCTCATTCAGCTGCATTCACTCCCACTATGTATGAATGCATTCTTCATTCAGACAAGTCTCATCATACTCTATTGTATAATTCCAAATAACTGTGACTTAATTCTACAGGTATGTAGGAGAATTTGTGAATGTAGGCAGTGTTTCACCTCTTCGGACTTTCAGGGTATTGAGAGCTTTAAAAACTATTTCAGTAATCCCAGGTAAGAAGCCCTGATCCTTACATTTTGGCTCTCAGCTACAAGTGATTCTTTCTCTGTCTCTCTTTGTCCCTTTGACTGTTGTTTTTTTTTGCTGGTGTTTTGTCATTGTCTGTGTGTGACTTTCCCTTGTTACAGATACATAACTGAATTTGTGGACCTGGGCAATGTCTCAGCCTTACGAACGTTCAGAGTACTGCGGGCGCTGAAAACAATCTCAGTCATTTCAGGTGAAAATCAGGTTAAACACTCCGGCTGCAGTTAAAGCCTACATGCCATTTCCAGTAGTAAACACAGTAATTACAAATGACTTAACCATAGATGCTGATCAGGAAATGGAGGAATGTAGGGAATGTGACCTGTCAATAGAATACAGTTTACGTATGTTTTCCAATACTGGTTTTGTGGGCAGAAGGAATTAGAGTATTTCCAAAATTACAGATCTCACTAAGATGAGTGCTGCTGCAAGAACGGCAGCATGCAGCAGCTCGTGAATCACGTACACAAAGTAGTCATTCATGAACCATATGAAAATGGCAGTGAAACTCTTAGAAAGTCTTTGGATATTGATTTTTAAAAATGGAAGGTCAATGACCTCAAAATGCATATTCCTGATTAAGAACGCATCGACAGAGGAATCTAAATCTGTGCTATGAGCTGAGGTTTCAAGACTGCAGGCATAGATAACCTAATCTGTCATGATGTTCAACCATTTGCATGTGATAGAAATTGTTTAAATTTCTGACCTTGAAGAGATCAGAAAACATTTCATCATTAATTTCAGTAGGTTCAGCATTTCTCCAACTCACATTTTCAAGGATATGATTGTCCCCTGTTTTCCACCCCTGCCCCCAAAAAAATAAAAATCAGTGGTTTACTACAGGTCTGGTAGTGAAAGAAGATCTTTTTTTAATAGCTTTTTATCTAATCTATTAATATTTTTTAAAATAATAAATAATATTTATTATTAAGTAATTTATGCAGACATGAGTCCACTGAGGACTAACCATATGACAATACTTCCTTGCCAAGCATTATCTATGGACAGGTCTCATTCAGCCTCAGTGTTTAACATCTCCAACCTGCATGACAAGGTAGAGAAGATAGCAAAAACCATGCATGGTAGATCCTAATGGTGATAATCCTGAACAGATGTTGGCAATTACACATCAAAAATATTCAAAACATCAAGACAACTGCTCAGATTCTCATGCAGAGTTCTTTAAGGTTAGAAAGGCTTTACCACCTGTTGTATTTTGAATATCTACACTATAATATAAATCTAAATAAATTCTGTGGGGTGAAGTTTACAGACATGTGTTACAATTAATCACCATCACTCATATGGAGTGAAAGCTAGAAATGGGAATTCTGGACATGAGGTGATAAGAAAACATATATATGGGTCTAGGGCTTACTTCATCATTCCAAGATTAAATTAATGAAAATCAGTGAAACTGCTGAAAGAGCAAGGAACTTCTCATTGAAAGTGTGTGTCAAAATACGGCTTTTAAAAACACCTTGACGTGGTCATTCATTAGGTTTGGTGTTCCTTCAAATTTGTTCCTGTCTTAAATTTGGTCTTAAGCTTAAATAGAATAATCTATTAGCAGAGAGACTTTGTTAAGTTTTCACACATTCACAGAGTGGAAGGAGTTGGAAAGGACCTCTAGAGATCATCTAGTCCAACGCCCCTGCCAGAGCAGGATCCCCTAGAGCTGATCACACAGGAACAAGTCCAGGCGGCTTTGGAAAGTCCCCAGGGAAGGAGACTCCACCCCCTCTCTGGGCAGCTTGTTCAGGGCTCTGTCACCCTCACCGTGAAGAAGGGTTTCCTCATGTTCAGGCTGAACCTTCTGTTTTCCAGTTTATGGCCGTTGCCCCCAGTCCTGTCACTGGACACCACTGAGAAGAGCCTGGCCCCATCTTCCTGACACCCACCCTTTAGATATTGATAAGCACTGATAAGATCCCCCCTCAGCCTCCTCTTCTCCAAGCTAAACAGACCCAGCTCTCTCAGCCTTTCCTCATGCGGAAGGGGCTCCAGGCCCTTCATCATCTTAGTGTCCCTGAGCTGGACCTTCTCCAGTAGTTCCTTGTCCTTCTGGAACTGAGGAGCCCATTGGAGCCTTCTGGAACTGAGGATTTTCATTGAGAAAGGATTTTTTTTTTTTTTTTTCCCTTTAGAAACAGAGAGTTGAGCACAGTTCTACAGATCATGCGGGACAGTAGTGGCTAAGCAGAAAGCAAACAGGAGCTTCCTAGCTTCCTCTGCTAGTGATTTGAAGACTAACTTGAAGGGACAACCATCTCCAGGGGACACCTTTCTCTTTCCATCTTGTCTCAAGCTTGAGCTTCTTCGGAGCAGAGTCTGTCAATTTTTCTGAGTTATATATATATAAATGTTCTGATGTCCTATATCAGAGTTGGAGCAGAAGTTTGTTTTACATCAAATGATAAATTTTGGTTGTTTTTTTTAGTGGAAAATAAAAGAGCATTGAGATTCAGAAAAAATATTTTTAAGAATACATCAAAGTCATTCAGTGATATTAAAACCAGAGTTGTTACATTGGTTAGTTAATATAAACAAACAAACTGACAAAAAAGGACATATGAGTAGTATTATTTGAGTAAAACATAATAACTCACATACACTTTTTTAATATTATTTCTGACTATTTGATTAAGTTTTTTGATAACTTCATTTCGAGGTACAAGTAAATAAATTATTTGTTGACATAACTGCATGAAGATATGATAATAGATTATATGGCCTTAGGTTTTATTGTCAAGATTATCTGTGTCATGAGTTTGTTAAAATTACAGATGTGGAGAGCTACAAATTGTTAAGGAACACCTACCTGCCTGTAAAACACAGCTGAAGTTGTTCTTTTTTGAAGTTAGCAGATAATCCCAGAGGAGTCAGTTCATTTTTCAGTTAGACATATATATTTTGAAAGAAATATTGGACATGATGCTATTGTTTATTTGGAGATCAGTTTGAGTCCTGAATGATAACGTAGACTTATGCTGAGATGAAATATTTTTCCACAATAGGCTTGAAAATGAAAAGATGCTGAACACGAATATCTTACAGGAGCTTTTGGGTTCAGCTGCTAGAGAGAAGGTTGTTATTTTTGCTTCCTCTTTTACATCTTAGGTGAAGAACACTGAGATGTATTCTCCTTCTCAAGTAACTAAGGTTTTCCTCAATAAAATTGATCACACTTTTCCATCAGGTAGCTATGTTTGCACAAACATACTTGGACTCAGCATGCTCAGTGAAATTGTTTACCGAAAGTAATAGGCCAAGTTCTCCGTGGCGTAAGGCTTCTGTCCAGCAAAGCACTTAGAGGCTGGTTTTCAAAGGCATTCTGCTTCGCTTGAAATCAATGAGTTTCACTATTGACTCCAGAGGGAGTCAGTAAAGCTAACAATTAGTGCTTTTAAAAATCTCACCTACCTTTAATGTCTCATTCTAAGTGTGCAAGCATGCACAGGGACATTTAGGGGGCACAGACTCACAGGACTCATAAACATCTCCAAACTCTCAGAGTCCATACTCCTGGACTAAGTTTGTGTTTAGTATACCTCAGACCTGACCTGATATTTATTACCTGACTTGTTCCAACAGTCCTTCCAAAGTGGAATTCTAATGGTCTTCCTGAGAAGTCTCTTCCAGCATCTCAATACTTTGACTATTAGAAGATTAGCCCTGGGAGGATGAACTCAGATCCAGATCCAAATATTAGCATCTATCAGCAAGCCGTGGGCTTCCTCCTCACTAGAGTTCTAGGGCTCCATTTGGTTGCCATCATGCCATCATCTCCTTCTCCCCATGCCATGGATCACCTGCAGGTCATATCTCCAAATCCAGCCTCACTCTCTCTTGACGCATTATCAGCTCATTATTTTTTACCCTACAGCCACTGTGTAGGACGTCAGGTCAGTGTCTTACCCTCTGTGGCAGCCCTTAACATGCCAGAAGACCTTCATGGATCCCCTCAATTTTCCCTTTTCTGCACTAGATACCCCATTTCTTTCTGTTTTTCAGTTGCCCATGATAGCAGGAGAGAACTAGCTTTGTACAGTAGCTGGCTATCTGTTTATCCAGACTTATTAAAAGAAAAAAGTTTATCATTACTTCATATATCCCTTATGTTCAGGTGCTTAGAAATAGGTAAAATTTTCTCTATGGGAACATAAAACCTTTAACTCTCAGTGATTTTATTTATTGATTGTCATCTTACATGTTTCCATGGCAACTGGATTAATTCATTTTCAATCTAGATAGGAACCATGGTCAGCAGCACAACAAGTCACTGAAGTCAGTCATTTGTCTCCCATTACCAGCATACCCAAGTGATGGTGTGCTCAATAGGAACCCTTCTCATGACAGTAGAGGGTCTCGAATCATAATTTTTTTGCATGGAAATCACCAATGTTTTTTGAGAACTACTAATGGAGGTAATGTAAATCCCTGAGGTACACCCTTCTATGCCTTCTCATCAAAAGCCTGCAAAATTCATGCCATCATCATCATCACTATCAGTATTTTGTAAAGTTTCTGTATCCCAAGAAGCTCAACTGCTCTTTCTGGAACAGGCCTGTACGACACAGACATCTCACATAAAATCACACAATATTGGCGAAAGGTGACCTCATAGAAAATTGGGCCAAGGCACTTTGGGGCCTGATCCAGCTCCCATTTAAGTTAGTGTGAGTCTAAAGACTATAAATAGTGCTGCAAATGTTATGCAGTACTTTACTGATAGCCAGAGCAGAACTTGGAGCACAAGATTTAAGGCTGTTCTAACCCCCATTCACTGCTTCAGTCTCACTGAAATTCTCCTGCAAAGAGATAAATGTCATCCTTCTGGTGGATAAATGACTTAACTCAAGAAGTAACAATCCCTGAAGTGAGAAATACACGACATTTGTGTTTTTCTTGGAGATTGGCCTGATAGTCACATTTCCATGCAAAGATGGTCTACAGAAAGGCTGACAACCATTCAAGTTTGCCGACATGCTGTTAAACTCTTTTCTGCCCTATGTATCAGTGGTTAATGGCAAAATGCATTCATCATGATTGAACCCTTCTCTCCCTACATACACATGGCTCATTTACAAGACACATGCGTACCTTCAGGAGAAGGAGTAGGCTAGGTGAAGACAATCGTTGTGCAGGTCATGCTCTTCTTTTGTTCTTCCTTATTCTCGCCACTCGTTTCCAGACGGCGCATGAAAGCATCTGATGTTCTGTAGGTGATTGCCAACATCTGGTGTGGATGTCATCTTGAATTATGCTAATACTTTCTCACGTCTCGTAGGAGGAATGGATGGTGTTGTGGGATCTTGCCATTTCTCATTGTTTGGTGTTGCTTGCATTTTCTATGATTTCTGATTTGCATTTGAAAACTGATTATTTGATTAACCTCTGAATGTGTTAATTTCTACCTGCATCAACAGGAATGTTTGGGCCAAATCCTTCTTGCTTTCTGCACATGTCAGGCTGCCAGTGCAGCCCTCATTCCACTGATTTTGGATCTCATGGTGTTGTTCATGTCACACAAGCAGGATTTGGCTCAGAAGTGTGGGAAGAATTCAGTGATTCAGGAAAAGCCTGTACCAATTACACCATAGGGAGTAATCTGTAGACCCATTGTCATTAACGGGTGTAGCTGTTACTCAGCTTTGTATCAGACCCTCAGTTTTTGCTGCATGCTGCCTGGTTTGATTTCTGACTTGCAAGATTTAAGTAAATGCCTTTAATGCCCCATAAATAGTATCTTCTATTAAGCTATATTGCAGTGCTCTCATTGGCACTATTTCAAAGGAGGATTATTTATCTAGAAGATTTAACAGTGCTCTAAATTTGAATACATCTAGCATTGCTTTTACAAAACATGGGACCAGCAAGAGGTTCTGGGTGTCCTTATTTCCCCTCAGCCCTTCCATTTATGAGGCACAGAAAGTTAAAATGACTGATGATTTAAACACTTTGCTTAGCAATGAGTTGTGCTGAGCAACTTGATGGATGCTACTTAATTTTCTGGGCAAATTTTGGTTTTAAAGGGTGAGAAAAAAAAAAGTTAGATTGTAAGTATACCATTCCACAAATGGTTTTCCTGGAAAGTTTTAACAAAGGTCCATGAGGCAGAGTACAAGTTATTTTTAAATGGTCTTTAATTACAGCAGTTGTATTACTAAAGCATTCTCTTCTTAAACTGTTCTGAAGCCTGTATGCTACTAAAACAAAAAAAAACAAAAAAAAAAAAGAAGAAAGTAAAGCAGAAAGTTCTCTCATAAAGAAATTATTTGATACCTGCAAGGAATGAACTTGTAAAACTAATAGTATAGGATTACTATTCTATTTAAAACACCAGTAAGTAAACTGAGAAAAACACGTTTCATGAAATGACCTTGAAATTAACAATACTGAGGCCTGATTTTGAAAGCAGGTATTCTTTATTGGTGGTTAGGATTTTGTAGGTCTTGTTTCCTAATATTATGCCTGTTCACATTAGGGCTCCCATTGTCCTTGGTCATGTGAGTAAGATTAATTAGTGTACTTAGAGGGTACAAACGCAGGCTCCAAGCTTGCATCTGTATTACAAACAAACAAACAAATGTGCTCAGGGATTCCGCAGAGGGTACTGAATTAAAAGAATTTGTGGTTTGGTTTTTTCCCTTTTTTAAGACTTAGTTTGCATTAAGACTTTCCAGATTTCACCAGCTTCAGTGAAGAAACATCTGTGCGTTCAAAGGACAGCCAATGATAATATTCATTGAAAAAAATCAGGATATTAGAGAAAAATGAAAATTATTTTAGTGCATTTACAAATCATATTTCTTTTTTCCCCATTTCACTACTTGATTAAGACCTGGCTGTCTGAAAATTCTTATTCTTAACACTGGAGACCACAAGAAGTCCAAGTCCTTCAGAACTGGGCTACAACTAAAACCAGTTTCAATTCAGGTATAAAGTTCACCCACGACTAGATTATTGGAAGAGCTATGCTTTTTATTTAGGCATCAAAATAGGTAGCCAAATCTACAAATGGACTCAAAAGTTCAGGGCTGGCCTTCTTCTAGGTACCTGAATAGAAATGACCTCATTTGTAAAACCTCTTTCTGGTGAGGAGTTTAAATAGCATGAAAATCTAGTTTTGCCTACTCTTTGTACTGCACGGTTTTTTGCTTTACTTTTGTGTAGAGCGGGGACCTGTCTAACCTTTCACACTTTACCATGCCACAAACTAGCTTTAAAGAGGCAAACAAAGAATTTAGTGGAGAAAGGGAGCTGCCAATACCTAATGGGTCAGACTCTTTTAGTTAAATGTCCATTTTATAGCTGTTAATATAATTCACAGGTTAATCTAGTGGCACTACCCTGTGCAGGAGTGGAATATTTTGAGCTGCTGGATTCAGGGACTGATGGAACTGTCCGGCATTCTAGCAGCTCAGCCTCCTTTGAGAAACTATGGTTTCCCCTTCCTCTAACTGCAGAATTTTAAGTAAGACCAAAACCGGATTTTGCCTTCTTATGAGTCCTCAAGTGTATTTTACATTATTTTAAATTATACAGCACTAGCTCAACCTTTGTGGCTGCCAAACTCTTGGGGTGGAATTCCAGGGAACTGAGATTTAATGTGCCTGGTCATATTCAGTGAGCAAATCAATGTGCTTCTCTCAGTATTGCCCAGGAGAATTCCTCCTATTTCCTTTTGGAATTTTCTTTTTTCCATTTAACTCAGTTTCTCTTACTGCTGCCACACTGGTGACACTGATTATCAGAAGCTCTGATTACTACTTATAGAGGTTTAAGGAAATATAAATAGGAAAGAAACAACAAAATTGTTGCCATTGTGCAGGTGATGTTAACCTCCAACTAAAGCACACAAGTTTAGAAGGGTCTTTTTCTGAAAAGATTGGGTTTTGTCGTATTCCTGTAATATTCAATCAGCTCAAATAGTGCTGATCTCTAGGCACACTTCAAAAGCAAGCAATATATTTTGAGAAAACAGTATAATTATTTCTATCTGTATATTTATAGAATAATAAACTGAAACTAGTGTTACAGGGTAAAGTAACTCAGGAGAAGCTGATCTGTGTGACCCAAGACTTTGGTGTTTGTACTAAGATGATTTATCTACATTGTCAGCATATTATAAAATGATTGACTTAGCCCAGTTATTGTTGGAGCCTCAGGTTATTTTACTCAAATTGTTTCCACTGGGTTTATTTGATTGCCTTATTTCTAATCCCAAATTCTTGTCCTAAGTAAATAAATGGAAAGCAGAGGAATTATTTATATAAGGGCAGTGATCTGGATTTGGCACTAAAATATGTAAATTAGTCAGGGAATAAGTAACATTTCTGCACCTCTTCATCTGTTTATGTGAGGGATAAAGTTATCAGAATCACCTGAGTGTTTTAAAACTGTCACATTCTCAAAATTCAATGGGATTTAGGCTTTACAGCCTTTACTGCAGCTCCATGAAAATGTAAAAGACACTCCATATTTTCTTTATCCATTAATATTGTTGTATCTCACCATTCCTCCATTTAGTTCTTTCCCTCCATTTTTAAATCAGTGTTTGTGTAAAAGTAATACCAAGACTTTTGTCCAGACAAAAGTAGGCCAAACTAAACATTCATAGTGATAACTTGTCTCTCATTTCTGCTGTCCAGTTACAAACATGTAGTAGAAACACTTCAGATTTTCCCTTCCATAGATTTTCATCATGAAAAGTAGCTATCTGCAGGCGTGTGTCAGCCTCTCAGTCTATAAACTCTTGGCTTTTATCTCCCTAGGACTGAAGACCATTGTAGGGGCACTTATCCAGTCTGTTAAGAAACTTGCTGATGTGATGATCCTGACCGTTTTCTGCTTGAGTGTCTTTGCCCTCATAGGCCTCCAGCTCTTCATGGGCAACTTGCGACACAAATGTGTCAGGGACTACACCAAGTTTAACTTCACAAATGGCACATTGTACTTGGATGGTAGGACATGGAACACCTCAGAGGAATTTCTTAGTGATCCAGGTAAGCTCTTCTTTACCCTGTTGTCTGGTTTTTAGGTTGGGTTTTTGTTTGTTTATTTTTTAATTACACTGAGCAAATTACACTATGTGACTTAGTAAATGCAGTGTTATGTGACTATTGGCTCTTCGTGATGTTGATGCGGTTTCAGAAGATGGAGATAGCATTCTCTGATCTCTGTAATGCTGAATATATTTCTAGTGCTTTGCTATGAAATGGTCTTAAGGTCCTTGTCGTATCACTGACGACTTTCAGTTTTGGGGTGTCTCATGATATTTTTCTTAAAGCTTCCTTTCCTTGAAAATTTCATGTGTGGTTCTAGATTGAATGCTGTTTCTTTAAGACAATTTGTAGCTCTTGCATTTTCTAGCAAAACTTCAAGATTTGAAGTAAGAGTCTTTAAAAGTCAAAAAGTGAAGCAGAGCAATTCAGTATTTATTAATCTGAAAAATCCCGAGGGCATTTTTTTAAAGGAAATCTTATGCTATTAGGCCCTAACTCATTATCTGTGCTGGACCATCCTGCAGTATCTGGTGCTCTGATGTTTATTATCAAAAGGCTTGTTTTCTAGGCCAAAGCAATTTTTAATACTCTACAGTCTGCTATACTTTGAATTACAATGAAATAGGTTCACTGAACTCATTTATTAACATTTTAAAAAAGAAAAAAAAAAAAAGAGAAACATTTCATGTAAATAAACTTCAGAATGTAAACAAGTGGCTCAGCTGTTGCTGCTCCAAAACCCTCTGAGTCACCAGAGAACCCACACCAATTGCAATGGGCATGGACTCACATCTAAAACAATTCAGTGATGCTCTTGAGGGAGGGAAGCACCTAGACTGATTTATGTTGGTAGGAACCTGCAACCAGTGATCTTTGGTATTTTAGTTATTTTGAGGACATGAATGACATAATCAACTCATTAACTGGAAATTTGGTTGGGAGGAAGTGACATAGTGTCATGGGGTACCTCTGTTGTGTGGACCCTACAGTCCTTGTTCCTGTATCTCCAGACCTGTACGATAAACCCCTAAGCCTGACTCCTACCAGTTGCCTGGCTCAACCCAGGTCTCTGTTGAATTCCTGGGACAAGGTTTCCTCCAACCCCTGCTGTCTTGTCAGCATTGCTCACCTCTTCAGCCAGGTTACATGGTCTAGGGATTGGTCCAAGGGCAGTCCCACCATTCCCCACTGGTGACTTCTGGCCTTTCTGCTTGGTTCCTCTCCCTGCAGTACAAGCAGCACTGGAAGGAGTTTTGGTAGAAAGGTTTCATTCAATGAATAAAAACCACCACATCATTGGTGTCCTTAATGCATGAGGTGGTTGGTGCATCATTAAGGATGAGCAGCTCACAAAGCTGTGGCTAGATGAGGGCCATCTTTGGGAGTAACCCTGACCACGGGGTTATTTGTCCCCTCAGTGTTGTCCCCTTGTCCACTGAAAGGGGAAAGAGCTTTGTACCAGAGCTGAAAAACCACACTGCACCAACATTGGTCAGTGATGAGCCTGCTGATGTGTTTTCCTACCCATGCTCTCTGTGCTTCCACCTTGGAGATGAGTGTTTGTGGAGCTAGTAAAGGTGTCTCTACATCTGTTGTGGATTAAGGCACTTCAGGGCTCCTCCACCCACAGAAAACTGATGGCTGTGTAAGGTGCTGCTCTCCCACTCTCGTAGAAGCATTGAGAGATAAAACAGTGATGGCTGGAAGTATAAGCCCTGCAACAAAGGTGAAGGGGTGAAATGGAGTTGTGAAGATAGTCTGCCTCTCTGGAAATGGAAGTAGGGTAAATGTGACACTGGAAAGTCTCTTAAATATATATATATATAAATAAAAT